TTTATAAATCACTCACTAATTAATCTCTCAGGCTGGAAAACATCTCAATAACTCATAACCAGATTGATCTTAATGCTTTCATCCTGTAAAGTTTGTAAATTATGTGGATTCTCATATTGAAATGGCCTCAGAATTGAGTTGATATTATGGCTTTGTGCTTAAATAAAATGTAAATCCATGTAAATGTTGTGGTCCTTTCATTGTCCTGCCTTTATAAATGTAATTACACTTTTTTTAATGGAAGTTAAACATGAAACATACTGACAGAAAATGATCTCGGCACGTAAAATCAGGCATGAAGACAACAATCTCATTTTTAACAAAAACTGCAGATTGGATTGGATTAAATAGTCATTTTAAAAATGCATTTGTGTTTATACATTACAGTATGAACAGGCTTAGCATTAGCAATGCTATAAATGATATGTTGTGTGTGTCAAAATGTCATTTCCATACCTAAAATACATATTTTACAGTCCCTGTTATCTACTATAAAGGCTCTACTTTTATTTGTATACACAATAAAACAAAATATTGTGCTTTTGTAAAAAAAAAAGAAAACAAACAGGCTGCGCTTTCTGCCGTCTTGGTTTTCAAGAAATTGTTTACGGATCGTGTCACAAAAATGAAACGAAACTTTACGCACAGTTTGTTACGACTGTGTTTTAGTGCCACGTAAAAAAATAAAAATAAATCTACAATTCAGATCGTAATACTTTGAGAAAAAAAGTCACAATTATGAGAATTAAGTCAAAATATTTTGAGAATAAAGTCAAAATTACAAGAATTAAATCAAATATTTTGAGAATAAAGTCAAGATTACAAGAATTAAGTCGAAATATTTTGAGAATAAAGTCAAAACGACAAGAATTAAGTCGAAATATTTTGAGAATAAAGTCAAAATTACAAGAATTAAGTCAAAATATTTTGAGAATAAAGTCAAAATTACAAGAATGAAGTGAAAATATTTTGAGAATAAAGTCAAAATTAAAAGAATGAAGTCAAATATTTTGAGAATAAAGTCAAAATTAAAAGAATTAAGTCAAAATATTTTGAGAATACAGTCAAAATTACAAGAATTAAGTCAAAATATTTTTAGAATACAGTCAAAATTACAAGAATTAAGTCAAAATATTTTGAGAATAAAAA